AACCATGAGAGACGATGGACTCTGAAAAACAAACTGAGGGTTCTAGAGGGGAGGTGGGTAGGAGGATGGGTTAGCCTGGTGATGGGTATTAGGGAGGGCACGTTCTGCGTGGAGCACTGGGTGTTATGCACAAACAATGAATCATGGAACCCTACATCAAAAACTAATGATGTAATGTGTGGTGATTAACATAACAATAAAAAATAATATCTAAATTCAACAGTCACTCATACTAAATACTTGAGAGTTAAAAGAAACTTCCTTTACCTACTAATGTTATCTACAAAAACGTAATACTTAAGGAAGGAATACTGAAAGCAATCACTTTCAAATCCACATTGATCCAGTGCAACTGAACCCACGTGATTCCGATCAAAATCCGAACAGGCTGTGTGTGTCTGCGTGTGTTTTGACATGATTCAAAAATTTACATGGAACACATAAAGGCAAAACAGCAAAGCTATTCTGGGAAAAGATAAAGACAGGAGGACTCGTCCTACGAGGTAGCGACTTATTTTAAAGCTACAGTAATGAATAATGTATGAAAATATTATACACATGGACCAAATAAGACCAGCAGGACAGAACAGAGAACCCAGACACAGAAACGCACACAGATATGGACACATGACATGTTGGAGAAACAGAACACCAGATCAAAGCAAGCTTTTCAATAAAAGGTGCCAGAACAATGGATTACCCTTATGTGAAAAAAACAGAGAACTCAACCTTCACCTCACACTATGCACAGAAAATCTTTTTGAGGAGTAAGGTCGTAAGAAAGAAAACACTATAAAACTTTGGGCAACAATACAGAACATTCTTTATGAGCCAAAGGCAGGGAAGGATTTCTTTAAAAGATACGATAATAACAATAATAATAATAGATACAAAAAGTACAAACCATAAAGAAATACACCAACAAATCCGACTTTGTTAAAATTAAGAACCTCTGTTCACCCAAAATACTTGAGAGTGGGAGAGAGAGAGAGAGGAGACAAGCTACAAACTGGAAAGCATCTGAAACACACTGAAGCCACGGAAGATTCATACTCAGAATATGTGATGAAGTCCTACAAATCAGTAAGGGGAAGACAAGTGCGTGAGAAAAATAAGCAACAGAAATTTTCAAAGAGGATGCACAAATGATTAATAAATATATTAAAAGCTGCTCAGTCTTGATGTCATCAGGCAAATGAGTATTCAAACCACAGTGACCAATGTCTTATTCATCACCAGATAGGCAAAAGTTCTGAAGAACGGCCTAGGCTAAAACTCATCCACTGCTGGTGGAGTGTAAACTCTTATGAACCACCTCAGACAGTTCGATATTACTGGCAAATTTGGGTATCCCCAGAAAGCCACTATTCAGTATACAATTTAGAGAAACTTTTCTACATCTGCCCCAGGAAATATGTTTATAAATGCACCATGTGGTAGCAAAAATCTGGCAAGAATCCATGACAATCAGTTGAGGAATGCCTGCATAAAGCATTTATAATCAAACCGTGGAATTTGAAATAGCAAGGAAGCAATGAAGGTGATGTAGAGCTACTCACATCACCATGGATGCATCTCATATATGTAATGTTACGCAAAAATAAAGGCACATAAATATATATATGAGGATCCTATATAAAATTCAAAACTTAGCGAAACCATACATGGCAGTCTTTACAGATACACAGTAAACCACAAAGAAAAATAGGTAACGAGGAACACAATACTCAGGGCAGTGGTCATCTTTGGTGAGGGGAAGAAAGGATTTAGCAGGGGCTTTCAGGATATGATAATGTTCTATTTCTTAACTTGATGGTGAGTATATGGGTGTTTTATTTTTAACCTTCAAACTTACATTGCAAACATTTTTATAGAAATGTTACCTATCATGATTAAAAAAAGAGGAAATAATGTAAATATGTTACATAACAGCCAAAATAAATGTTAGTAAGAAGGACCAACTATAACAGCATAGAAGGCTATACAATTTGGGGGAAAGGAGAAGAAAATAGATGCAGATAGGCCTGTTTATACACAGAAGGCAGTTGTCTGAAGAGGGACTGGGTAGCAGGGGTTAACGATGGTTAACTGCGAACCCAAATAATTAAAAAACGGAAATGTCTGTGCAATAAGCAGATCTCAACCGTCACCATTTGAGCCATGTGCGAGGCATAAGTTGAGTGCTTTCCTGTGGTCTCAATCCATCCTCACCCGAGGACGGAAGCATTACTGACCCCATTTTACAGATGAGGAAACAGAGACCGAAGGCACAAGGCGATGTACAGAATTAGTGATGGACATGGAGGTGGCAAAACAAATGCAGAGTTCAGGCACTGTAGCACCCCCTGTCCAGGTAAGCGAGATACAGGAGGCAACAATTCAATCACGATCCCTTGCCTGCAGGGATCCCTTACCTACAATTCTCAAATCTAAAAAAGGTCTTAAAACCCAATCTTTTAAGCTTGAAAACCTGATCTGACCTAAGATGAGGCTATTTCTGGCCGTTCTTTAGCTCCTTTGGTGTAAATATGCACATATTTAGCTGTGAAAATACTCATGTATTTGATTACAAGAAGCTGCCCCAGACCCCAATGAAGGTATGACATAACATCTAATATATGCATCATATTCCTTTCGAAAATCCGAAAAAATGGGAATTCTGAGCACGCCTCGCCTCGGGGCTTTAAAATACGAGGCTGTGAACTTGTATAAAGTAAGGATTCCTGTAACAAGGCAGCACAAGCACAGAACGCGGCGGGTAACCGAGAGGTCCGCGAAGGCCTTATTTTCCGTATTCGGTTCAGACAGAATTCTGTATTTTGCTTTTGTCACCTAATATTAGGATCAAACCGACTTTTGCACCTATTACTACGATTTAACAACGTCTGTGTGTCGGGGGCACTAGGTTCCAGCCTACTGGCCTTCCAGGCCCTCTCTGGGCCTGTTTCCTCATCAGGAAATGAGGAGCCCCAAGCCCCCGGGCCCCCAGCGCCACACTCCGGCACAGACACGGGCCGACCCCGGGGCCTGACCCCCACCTTCCGTCCTCCGTCGCCTCTCTGCACGGCCCTCTTCCATCCCCCGCAGCCTCGCGGCCCGGCGCCCGGATTTCCCACCGCGGTACCCAGGTGCAGCCCCCACTGCCGGCGGCCAAGACAGAAAGGCGAGCGCGGCTCCTCCTTCGGGGCGGGACGAACGCGGACTCGGCGCTCCCATTGGTGGATGTCGCCCATTCGTCCCTCCCACAGGGTGACGCACTTCCTGCCCCCCCGTCCCCCACTCAGTTGCCCGTGGGGTAGGTGGGGAGTTACGCGCTTCTCCCGCCGCTTTCCGTACCTTACGGGGCGGAGCTACGGCTTGTCGCCGTCCACCGCAGTGGCGCCCCGCGACCAAAGAGGTGGAAGGGGTAGGCATGCAGCGGGACCCTACCCCCCCAGTAGCCGCGGCTCCGCGGACACAAGCCAGTGCCCTATCCCGGGCCTCAGTTTCCCCATCTGTACAACCGACACTGTGGCCTAGGGGTCAGCGATGAGGGCTCTTGTTGTCATATAGCTTGCGGAGAATCCTGGCTCTGCCACTTACTAGTTGCCAGATCTTGGGTGAGTCATTGAGCTGCGCTGAGCCTCAGTTTCTTCATCTGTTACATGGGAATGATAATAGTCCTCATGGAATAGGGTGGTCATGAGGTTTAAAAGAAAAAACGCACACTTGGAAGTGCTGATTAAATGTCAGCTACTGTCTTACCTAGGGATTGCTAGGAGAAGCAAATGAAGTTATTAATAGAAGTGAATGGACTGTTGGAGGACATCATTTGACAAACGCTTGCATCCCAGTGCCTGATCTGGGAGCTGGGGATGCAGTCTAGCAGGGAAACAGGTAGCTAATTCTAGTACAGCAGAAAGTGCAAGTATCTATATCTCTGTGATGATAGCTTCAAATCCCTACCTGTCCGGTTACACTCCTGTGATCTTGGACAACTTCTCAACCTCTCTGGATATCAGTTTCCCGGTGGGCTGAGTGAAAAAAGCAGTAGCGTGTGTGGTAGTTAAGAGCTTGAGCTTGGGAGCTGGACCCTCTGGATTTGAATGCTGTTCTTAACTGTTCTTAAACTCAGTATGTCTGAGACCCAGGACAAAATATTGAAGCTCTCCACCTCAGTTTGCTCATCCATAAGGCAGGGATAATACTAGCACATTGTGGATAGGAGTGCTGTGAGATCAAATGAGTTAATACATGCAAAGCTCTTAGAGTATCTGGCACACAGTAAAGCCTCAATAAGTGTGAGTTATCTTTACTAATAAAGTACTTTATAAAATGGCTTGGGGGCAGTCAAAGAGAAGAACAGCTCTAAGGAGACCATCTATGTTTTGTTTGTCCTGCATAGTTTTGTAAAATTTTGAATTTATTATCAATATTTAAAGCTGAGGCATTTCACATAAAACCCTAGGGTATCTGGCAGCTCTTGAAATATGGGGCAGTATGGCCACAATAGGCCAGCATTCCCCTATGGCAGCCCCTGTTTAAAGCTTCGTAGAGACTATGCCGTTTTGTGATGATGTGTGCTTTCTGGGGGTGTAGAGAAATAAAAACAGGGGCCCATGAATGGAAAACACTGGGAACACTGACATTTCATGATCAAATGGCCAAGAAAGGAGGTAGAAAGAAAGAGATTCAAGACCAAGTGGTACCAGAGGCAAAGAGGTAGGAGAGACTATTGGTGGTAGGGTGTGGTCTGAATTGTCAGTGCTCTGGAGAGGTCAAGAAAAACGTGCACTGATTTAGAATGTGATGGCCATTAAGAGCCCATAGAAACAGGAGGAAGCTAGATCTGCCTCCAAGAGAAGTGAATGTATGGAAACTGAGGGAATGGAGAGGGGATGCTGACTACTTCTAGGAACGGTGTTTTGGGAAGGGGAGACATGAAGACAGGAGCAGAGGGAATAATCAATGGAATAAAGACCGGAGAGAATGGGGTCAAGGGCACACAGAGACAGAATTACTCTTACCCTAGAAAGGAAGAAAGACATTTCTTAAACAGGAGGAAAAGAGGTAAAAATGGATGGATAAAGGTTCACCTCTGATGTTTTCTGCTTTCTCCATAAAGTAGCAAACTCCGATTCTGCTAAGCAAAGGAGCTGGGAGATGCTTGGGGATTTGAGGAGAATCAAAGTTTTGGAACAGATGCCAAAGGGAATGCAAAAGTGAGGTTCCAGCTAAGGTTGAAACCATAAATGTGCAGAGAGGCTAGCCACTCCTGATCCCTGGGCAATCTCCCATCCCCATACCAGGGGCCTCAGAGAAGAAGCTCTGTGTGGACTCATACTGGGGTGGGTCTTAGCTAAACAAATGCAGCTGGCCTTAGAAGTCAAAGCAACTGGAGAGTGTTGGTGGGAGGGTCTTTGAAGTCATCCACTGCAGTATGGGCAGGTAGACAGGAGGAAGGAAGAGTGCTGAGAAGTTAGCATGGAGGGGGACAGCAGCCAGAGGTCCCAGTGAGGTGGATTACCAGGTGACTGTCCTGCCTCAGCATGCCTCCACCCTCAGAAGACAGCCCACTCTCTAGTTGGCTCAGTGAGTATTTATGAGGACCTTCAGTGTGCCAGACATTGAGTGGTTTGCTACAGGACAACTCTGCCAGTTCAAATATTCTTCTGAAAGTTGACTGTGAAAGGTACAGAAGCTCTGTGGACATAAATTCACTGTCCATAAGGCAGGTGGCTGAGACTCTGGCTAGAGAGGAAGCTTGGGGGCCAAATCATAGGCTAAGGGAGTCAGTCTTTTTACCTGAAGACCATAGAAGCTATTGGGGAGGAAGTGATGAGATCAGGTTTGTATTTTAGAAAAAGAACATCAGCACATCTGATCTTTTCAAAACATACTTGGAACATTTACAGAAATTGACTGTGTACCGGCCACAAAGGAAGTCTCAATAAATTCCAAAGAATCTGTAGACCACATTTACAAACCAGTGAAGTAAAATGAAGAATCAAAAACACAACCAGAAAGAAACCCAAACCACTTCTAGACCTTAAACTAGTAACTGAAAATGCTTCTGAGGAGAGGGTCCTGAAGACAGGATGATTATTTTTTATCATGTACTACTATTACTTATGAAAAAATAAAATTAAACATGCTAAGCATATATTTGAATTTTATTTCTTAAGCCGGGAATTCATTTATATTAGTTTTTATACCTGAGTGTATGTTGAAAGATTTTATAACATTTTTAAGAGAAAAAGAACATATATTTGGAAACTGAAAAATACATACATGTTAAAAAGAAAACCAATATGGAAATTACAAAATATTTAGAAATGAATGACCAAAAAAAACCCAAATATAATGAAACGTGGGATCCAACTAAAACAATAATTAGAGGGGGATTTATAGCCTTAAGTGTACTTAATACAAAACAAGAAAAAAATTTAAGTGTTCAATGTAAGAGTTAGATAAATAACTAAATAACCCAGAGAAAACAGAAAGAAGGAAATAATAAAGCAAGAGGCAGATGTGAGTAAAACAAAAAAGAAAATTAAATTGATTGTGGAAACCAGGAACTGGTGTTCTATTAAAGACTAATACAACAGACAAGCTTCTTGTAAGCGTTATCGAAGCAATATTATAAATGGCTAAAAAGAGTGTAAAAATTTAGAAAGCATGGGTATACTATGAACAACTTTATACCAACACATTTGAAAATCTAGATAAAAGGGGCAATTTTTGACAAAAATACAAATTACAAAATTTTGCCCTAGGAGAAAAGTAGACCAATAATCATCATTGAACTTGAAAAGGCAATGGATCTGTTCCAACTCATAAAATGCCCAGGCTGAGACAGTTTTACTAGAGTGATATACATGCACACAAATGCAAAAAAACAAAAAACAAAAAAACAAACTATATTATGCAAACTGCACCAGAATATGGACAAGACGGAGAAATCTATCCAAATATTCTGTGAGGCTAGTCTAATCTTGATACCACAACAAGAACAGCAGAATTAAAGAAAATGTCAGGTCCATGTATATTATAACAATGTATGCAAAAATTGAGTCTCTTAGTATCTCAAATGACAGTCTCTTTATGATGAGTGATGTTGAGCATCTTTTCATGTATCTGTTGGCCATCTGGAAGTCTTCTTTAGAAAAATGTCTATTCAGGTCCTCTGCCCATTTTTAATTGGATTTTGGATTATTTGTCTTGTTTGGTGTTGAATTGTATAAGTTCGTCCTATATTTTGGATACTAATCAGGGAGATGCAAATCAAAACCACTAGGTATCACCTTACGCCTGTCAGTATGGCTAAAATTAGAAAGACAAGAAATAACAAGTGTTGGCGAGGATGTGGAGAAAAAGGAACCCTTGTGCACTACTGGTGGGAATGCAAACTGGTGCAGCCACTATGGAAAACAGTGTGGAGATTCCTAAAAAAATTAAAAATAGAAATAACATATGATCCAATAATTCCATTACTGGGTATTTACCCAAAGAAAACAAAAGCACTAATTCAAAAAGATATATGCATCCCTATGTTTATTGCAATAGTATTTGCAATAGCCAAGATATGGAAGCAACCTAAACATTTATCAATAGACAAATGGATAAAGAAGCCATGATGTATATGTATATATGAATGTGAATATTATGCAGCCATAAAAAAAGATGAGCTCTTGCCATTTGCAACAACATGGATAGACCTAGAGGCTATTATTCTAAGTGAAATAAGTCTGACTGAGGAAGACAAATACCGTATGATCTCACTCATATGTAGAATCTAAAAAAACAAATGAATAAATGAACAAAATGAAAAGCAGAATCAGACCTATAAATATAGAATACAAACTGATGGTTGCCGGAGGGAAAGGGGAGGGGCAAAATATGTGAAGGGAAGTGGGAAACACAGGCTTCCAGTTATGGAATGAATAAGTCACGGGAAGAAAAGGCACAGCATAGGGAATATAAATAATGCTGCATAGTGACCAATGGTAGCCACACTTGTGAGCACAACGTAACATACAGAGATGTTAAATCACAATGTTCTACACCTGAAACTAATGTAACATTGTGTGTCAACAATACTCTAAAAAAAAAAAAAGTTAAAAAAAATAGACTGTCTCTTCCAGAAGAGGAAATTCGAATGGCTAAAAAAA